CAATACAGCACACAGAAGCATCATCACAATCATCATGTAACCGTGCAGGGACGGACTGTCAAATATCACAGCACCCCATCCACACCACGATACAGACCTAACAGCATACCACATAGGTATCGTGGTGTACACATACGCGCGCGCCATGTACACTCACTACCACACACACACTCATGTGCAACTGATGACATAAAAAAAAACCCAACCGAGTGTGCTGTGTTGTATTGTGCGTGAACACTGAAAACATAAATACAACAGCATCATCATCATTATTATCCGTGGTGGTGGGTGTACAGCGTGTACAACTTACGGGCTTTGTGCACGCGTTCAGTGAGAGTGAGTGTGTGTGAGAAAGACAGTGGTGGTGGTGGTGTCGGTAGTGGTGGTGGTGGTGAGTGCGCGTGCGGTTTGGTAGGAGCGAGGCCGAATGTGTGCGTGCGTGTGTTGTGAGCACGACGCGCGAATGAATCCACTGCCCCCCCCTCTCCTCCTCCTCCCCCCTGCCCCCCCCTTCCTCCTCCCCCCTGCCCCCCCCCTTCCTCCTCCCCCCTGCCCCCCCCTTCCTCCTCCCCCTGCCCCCCCCCTTCCTCCTCCCCCTGCCCCCCCTTCCTCCTCCCCCCTGCCCCCCCTTCCTCCTCCCCCCTGCCCCCCCTTCCTCCTCCCCCCTGCCCCCCCTTCCTCCTCCCCCTGCCCCCCCTTCCTCCTCCCCTGCCCCTCCTCTCCTGCCCCCCAGTAGCGAGGCGGATACAAGGCGGATACTAATGTAGCAATCGGCGGCCACGTGCCGGCCGGGCCGGCGTGGCCAGACCAGAGGGTTTTCCCCTCTGTCAAATCTCGCCTTGCCTTAAGATTGGGGTGGTGGTGGTGGGGGGGGGACAAAATGATTGTTGATGGCACGTGGGCAAGATCCACCGTGGCTCGGTGGGCAGCGGTGGTGTGGTAGCGGTCAGCGCGCTCCGAGAATCCCGCCACGCTCGAGTTCGATTCCCGCTCGCGGCCAACGCAACACCGGTGACGGTGGTTTGAACCGGCCCCCCGAGATCGATTGAGCCTCAAGTGTGCCCCCGGTGCGGTGTGTAAACTAGCGCCGCTCGGGGGACACAAAGGCGGCCGGGCGTGGTGTCTGGCCACCCACACACCCCACACCCTGGTGTGCTGTGCTGGCCTTATAGGTGCTCGCTAACAGCACTTGTCCCAAAAGTCGGTGGAGGCTAAATGGGGGATCTTTGTCTTTGATGATGATGATGGGGGGGGGGTAGTGCTGTGGGTTGGGTTGCTACTGGTTCATAAATCTAAATCCTCTGGCTTCTCCATGTGCTATGAAGAAGGTCCACTGGTGGTGTTGACGAATCGGTTAGTAAGTTTATCTATCCATCCTGCCTCTATATTTGTGTTCTATGAAGGTCCATTGCCCGACAAACGTTGCCGAATGTTTGATTTTTCTTTAAGGAAATGTTATTGACCAATGTGTTGAATATTTTTTTCGGTGAGTAGGTGGCCTTGTAAATAACGTGGCTTCAGCCACGTCAATCACCCCCACCACGTCCCTTTCATTGGTGAATTGAACCATAGTACACCGGTTCTCGCATAATGTCCGTGATGCAGTCATGTTTAGTCTGTTGATGGTCGGCGATGCGATTATCGACTCATCTCGACGAGCTGTACTCACGACAAGCTGTACTCACGATGAGCTGGACACTACGATGAGCTGTACTTACGATGAGCTGGACACTACGATGAGCTGTACTCAGGATGAGCTGTACTCACGACAAGCTGTACTCACGATGAGCTGGACACTACGATGAGCTGTACTCAGGATGACTTGGACACTACGATGAGCTACGATGAGCTGGACACTGCGATGAGCTGTAATCACGATGAGCTGGACACTACGATGCACCAATCGGCCTCGCTGCGTTTCGACATCGCGGAGTGGCACCACCGATTTCGGATTGATTGGTACCACAGTCACGGAGTTAAGTAACACCCCTGGAACAAAAATAGCGTGTCTGAAATAAAGTATTTAATTGCCTCGACCATTTTGTGTTATTTGGTACCCCGGGGGTACAGCCGTAAAGATCAATTGTCACTTTTCACCGTCACGATGTAATTCAAGAATACGGTGGATAATTGTTACCTCGTTTTGTACCGTCTCGTTTGTATTCTCTCGTTTTTACTGTCTTGTTTTTTTTTTGTTCACCGTCTTAGTTGCATTGTCTGTGTAAGTTCTCCGGTCTCGGTTATATAATTTACATATTTTTTGTTGCTACTCTACGTATTGGTTAAAACTATACCCTATGTTTTGTTTCGTCTTTGGTTTATATTGTGTATTGGTATTATCTGTCCCATTCTATTTGTCTCCAATATATGATTTAATTTATCCTTTGTACTGGTTTTTATTGTCTCTGGTAGATCGGACATGTTCTGTCGTGTTTCGTCGCATGAATCTACAAGTGGCGTGATTATAGTAGAGCGTTTACATAGCAATTGCAGACATCACAAATAATATTTTCTTATACGAGTAGGAATCTATACTTTTAAAACATGCTCAGATTGTAGATATGAACTTTAGATTAAAGGGTATTTTTTATTCAGGTTTTTCTACCCTGCTAAAATAATATGGGTACGCTAGTTTTTTTTTCCACTCAAACAAGCGCGAGAGGGCATTTGTCTGCTCTTTACAGCTCAAATCCAGTGGTGGGACTTCCACATTCCTATGGTCAAGGTCAGTTCGTCCATATGACATATACTGTACCATACTTTTTTATTTCCCAATAATGTGTACTGTACAGTACTGGGCTTTTCATCCAACTTCATGGAATAAATGTAGACTGTACCTGAGTAAACATTTCCCCAACGTAGCACAGGTATGAAAGTTGGCTTTCCCCTACTGCAAGATATTTTCTGGGTATAAAATGTGGATTGAAAAAAATTTGCAGTGTGTATTACAATGAGGGGTGGTGCAAGTGCCATAAACTGGCCGACCAGAGAGTTCAGTTCCAGGCCACGGCTAAAACATCAGTGGCAAGTGACATTTGAACCGGCCCCATCACCCCCACCTCACCCACACCAGCACGCACGAAACAGCGTGGGATGACATATGCTCAAATAACCACCAAACAGTGGTTTTACAAGGGGCTGTAAATTACATCTGCCAGGTTCTATCCACTTTTGAATTAAAGCTTGCCATATTCGTCATCTTCAATGATCTAGTGAGGAATCAGCTTCCTCCTGCAAGCAGCGTATCCCATGTATTTATTTTATCAGGTTAGGGGCCATCCATTCAGTACGTACGCATGGAGGGGAGAGGGGGGTTAACCCAAATGCTACGCTTGCATATGGGGGGTCTACTTACAATGTACGCATATGAAACTGGTGGGGGGGTGAAGCCTCGATAATTATTTGTCTACATTGGCCTTCAAATGAGTTCGATAGTCCGGCGGTGGACTATCTATCTGCTTAAACACGTTAATATTATTAATCCTTGATCGTTTCTGCGTTCTATCAGATTCGAGGTGGGGGGGGGGGTCAAGTTTTGACAGATTTTTGCGTTCCTACTAAACCGATGGCCCCTTAGGCCCACTCTTTTTCAGAAGTAACTGAGCAACAAATGATAGCCCAAATGAAGCGGCTTATCACGTAGACATTTATAGCAGCCAAATTACTCTGGACGCATGTTTTTAAATGTGGAGGGGAAAACCGGAGGACCCCGGAGACAAATCCAACGCGACCACGGGAAGAGGTACACGCAAACTCCAAAAATACAGCAGCAGGCATCGTCAGGTTCGGGATCGAACCCACGACCTCCTGTATACCAGGCGAGATAGTTAACATCTCACCACGGCGAGGCTCTCATAGCTCCATCTCCCTGGTGAAAATACTAAAAAAATATAGTCCCTACTTTGGTTGTCACTCCATCTCAAATATTGTCTACAACTGCCCATAATCCCTCCAGATGTTGTCATTTTGAGCCCAACTTTGCAGCTTCTTTTTTTCTTAAGAAAAAAAAACCTATTACCTGTAATTATTTACAGGTGACACATTGTACTGTATACAAAAGTTTGGGCCTTGGTGTGTTTCGTTAACATTTTTTAGTCTAAAAGGATTTTTTTGTTAATGAAGCTTATGTACGTTTTTCTTACGCAGCATTCGTCTAGAAACTAGATAAATGTATGTTGAACTTCTTTCGCACCGTACATAGGCAACCGTGATAATCGGAGGCGCTATTTACTCGTCATAAACGTGAAATTATTCGCTAATTCTCCACATATGGCCATATCACCCCCAAAGTGCCCGATCCCGTCAGTCCTCCGAAACTAAGCAGGTTTCTAAACCTGGATAACAACACTTGGATGGGGCAACACCCATGTCAAAAAGAAAACCAGGTAGAATAAGCGTTGTGGGCAGTAGCGGGCATTGTAACAAAATCCATTGTTATTTTGTACCCCACCTCCACCAACCCAGAGTGATGAGGTGCAGTGGGCAAATGACCTTCGCCTGAGGCGGCACCCATCCAGCAGTGGATTGGCACTTCATCCAGCAGTGGATTGGCACTTCATCCAGCAGTGGATTGGCACTTCATCCAGCAGTGGATTGGCACTCATCCAGCAGTGGATTGGCACTTCATCCAGCAGTGGATTGGCACTTCATCCAGCAGTGGATTGGCACTCATCCAGCGGTGGATTGGCACTTCATCCAGCGGTGGATTGGCACTTCATCCAGCAGTGGATTGGCACTTCATCCAGCGGTGGATTGGTACTTCATCCAGCGGTGGATTGGCACTTCATCCAGCAGTGGATTGGCACTTCATCCAGCAGTTGATTGACACTTCATCCAGCAGTGGATTGGCACTCATCCAGCAGTGGATTGGCACTTCATCCAGCAGTGGATTGGCACTTCATCCAGCAGTGGATTGACACTTCATCCAGCAGTGGATTGGCACTTCATCCAGCAGTGGATTGGCACTCATCCAGCAGTGGATTGGCACGCACTCGAAGTGTCCATCTGAAGGGGCAGCAGAGCGGCCATCATCGCTAAATCCGCCCACTCCGGTGACGACTTCGGCGCGTCCTACGGGGAGAAATCTCACAAAGACAATAGACGACAAATGTCGCCCCAAATCCACTCAAAAAATTCCACTCGACGAACGCGCTGAAATTTTGTTGCAATTTAACGCGCCGTCGCGACGGATGTCGGCGGATTGCGTTCGCTTTCCCCTGCTGTTGGGGGTTGTTCCCCAATTTGCCTACGTAACGAGGTCGGCCATATTGGGCCTACACCGCAGCAACCCTGCCGTGTAAGACGTCAACCATTGCCGATACAGAGCAAGACGCACAGATGAAAGGCAGCCTGCAGGTGCTCCACAGGCTCGCGGGCCACCAGGACAGAGCGTGGTCGGTGGCGTGGAGCCCCAGTGGAGCTCTGATCGCCAGCTGCGGTGGAGACAAGACGGTGCGAGTGTGGGGCAGGGAAGGTGAGGGCGCCGGCATCGGATAGGGGGGCGTACGGGAGTGCGGGCACCATTTGCCGGCAAAGCCTTCCAGGCGAGGTCGATGCTTGGGGGCCCAGTGAACCCACACGCCGCCGTCAATCCACTGCTGGATGAAGGGCCTCCTGAAAGCAGTTCGCGTTTCACAATCACTTGCACCTTCCGCGGTGGTAAATGTGCAAACCTTGGCTCTTGGGAGTTTTATATCTGTCGGGTGTTATATTGTACGCACCGTAATTTCTCTCTGGCTTCGTTGGCCGAGTGCCATTGCAGTGCCCCGTACACCGTCGCTAGGGGGTGGAGCGGTTCTGCTTTAAAGTTGTTCACAGACTGCGCGCTACTTGGCAAACACGAGGCATGTCACCTGAGTTTGATTCCCCGTCACGGCTAACATCGGCGGCGAGGGATGTATTGAACCCGTCCTGAGCACTCACACTACCCCCCCTCCCCCCCATTGATTTAACCCGCGTTGACCATCCTGGTGAAGTATGGTCAAACGGCCCCCATAGCCGCCGCGGCGTCGAGAGGAGTTGTTGCACTGGATAGACAAATTAGTTCAGCATTGTATGCACCTGGACGCGCTATCGGCTTAGCGTTACACTCCACGAGTTACACGGTTTACCTGTAAGAGGAATCGTATATTTTTACATACCTTTTTATGCTGACCCTGTGAATATTTAGAATCGGAATGTGTGTACTGGAGGAATCTGATGAGCTATAAAGCGCTTTCACAGATAAAATAAATCACCGAGCCTAATTTTCCCGGGCACCAAAAAATATATGCTGCAATGATTTGGCTTGCGATGAACGTAGATTCGTTTATGGATGTGCCAAATTTCAGCTTTCGAGCCCTTTCACAACGTTCAATTTGTGTCCTCCACGATAATCTGGATAGTTCCTTTCATACCGCACTCGAATAACTGTTTAAGAACATTGAAAGCTGAAACTGGGTTCTCAGGGGTTTTCATTGTGCAATGTCTATTTGAGAAAATAAGTGTCACGAACATCTATAGAATTCAACAAAATGCATGTACTGCATTGTTATACAAAAAAAATAATCCCACTCAAATTAAGATGTAGTGAATGACAATTTTTTTTTAATTCACGTAAGTGGAGTAATTTCTTCGTCCAGTGTTTGATACATTATTCATTGTACCCTACAGGACTTCGATATTTCCCCCAAAATTGTATTAAAGTACATAACAGCACATTCTCCACATCCATGCACAATTTTTTAGTGATGTCTACCTTTGGGTTACGAAAGGATAAATAATATTTTATTTTCAAACATTGGTCAGTATTCAAATGTATTTTTTTTACATTTTCTTTTCTTTTACCCCCTCTAAATTGTTGAAGTTTTGAGATGTGGTTGTAGACGCTTTAGAAATCCAAATTACACCATTTGTATTGCTTTGACATTTTCACTTCACATTTTATAGAAAAATGCAATATAACCATAGGTTTTCTACTCAAACAAGGATTGCATGGTGACGGCTATCTATTTATATATTGCTGAACCAATTGTGGACATTTATAATTCCCGTGATGGGGAATACAACTCTGTCTTTTCACAAAATGGTACTTTTTTCGCTACCTTCATTGTAATAAAACGTAGGAACTTGATTGTGTGTATATTTTTGTGTCTAACCTATAATTTGAACATACGTATTGCTTTGTCTACATTCCTAGTTCTTCCGTAGGTATCCCTAGTAACAGACTTGTGTCAGTGAGATGTCACCTTGTTTCGTGTATTTAAAGCTGCACTATTTATCCCAAAAAGTCTAAATCTAATTTCAAAAATAACTTTACACCTTTGCCATGAAAAAAAAACTCCAACGTACTTAATGAGCATCTGCTAAATTTACAAGTGCAGAATCTTGTCAGCCCAACTAAACGTATGAAGTAATGAAATTGAAACACCTTTGCGAGTGTAAGACCCACTTGCATTGCATTGCTTTCAGTATTTAAAACCTAGAGGTAGGGCAATTAATTAAACACGTTGCAATTGTGTGAATTTGTTATCACATTGTCATAGGTGAATAATGCCCTGTTGTCCTGTAGATGTTTAGTGTGACCATCGAAGAGCGTTTAATGTAGCAGGATCATTTTCGTTATGGTCAGCACAGTGTTCAATTGCCAGCAATTAAGTTAATGCGCCTAAGTGCTATTGATTATATCAAACAGGGAATTCATGTCCAATAAATGAGTACCTTTCTCCCGTGCGTATATAATTATGGCATTTCTTTTTTCAATAAATCGTTGGCTAGACCCTTCTTTGGTAAATAACTGCCTTGGCAAATTATACATTCACTCCATTTATCAAAAAATTGTATTTCAGTGTAATGGCCCAACCAGGTATAAGAGATGCATCTCATTGATGAAGTTGGCCAAAGTTTGGACAATAGTGGATCTTCATCGTATGATTGATAATGATAAGAACATCTCATTATCGCATGATAATGAAGAGCAAGAGTCCCACCCTATCGTTTACCAAACCAGTGGCGGTGTCTGTTATGATGTGCATGAGTGTTGCAGGCGATGGCTGGGTGTGCCGCTCGGTTCTGGCCGACGCTCATCAGCGCACGGTGCGAAATGTGGCTTGGTCTCCGTGCGGGACCCGCTTGGCCTCTGCGAGTTTCGACGCTACCACTTGTGTGTGGAGCCGACGCGACGGTGATTTCGAGGTGTGCGTGGAGAGCATTTGCGAACCTACGCGAAGCATCGCACATGGAAGTCTACACACCTTACACAAGTACACTATCCTTAAACGTCAAGTTATTTTGTTTTTTTAAACAAAGGTAGAAGGAAAGTACTGTATTAATTGGTGGTTTAAGTTGTGCAATAAATTAGTTTTTTGTGGTTTATGATGATGGAAGAATAAAGGAATAGGTGATGACAAAACCAAGAAGAACAAGGATTGAGATTGAACAAAGCAGAAATACTGGCGAAAGAAAGAGAACCATGACAGAGATATGTTTGGCCTCATTTTCGCTAACAAGATGATGGAAGGAGCAGACGATGATTGTATCTCTATATTTTAGTTGTTTCAATCTGGCAAGGTGGCTCAATGGTCGACTGAGTGGACACAATCGGAAGGTTGCAAGTTTAGTTCCTGATTGGGGGTTGACTAGGCCCATTATCATTCTAGAGTCAGTGAAATTAGTACCACCCTGTGTGGAAGTCTACATTGGATATTTTATGGATATATGCCTTGCCCCTGCCATAGGAATGTGGAATTTCCACCACTGCCTCAGGGCTGTAAATATGAGATGAGCACCACATTCATGTTCATTTGAGCTGGAAATAACTATAAATAACCACTGTATAAGACCACTCTTTGTCCAGTCAATAATGTGCTATCACTTGAAAGCACGCAAACACAATGTACTTTCCAGAAATTAGCTTCTCTTTAATGGATGCAACAGTGTTCACCATTTGTTCTTCATTCATTCAAGGTGACTGCGACTCTGGAAGGACATGAGAATGAAGTGAAGGGCGTGGCCTGGGCTCCATCAGGAAACCTGCTGGCCACTTGCAGTCGTGACAAGAGTGTCTGGATTTGGGAAGGTGTGCATGCCCAGCCTAAGCAGCTGATGGCTTCCATCTCACTTTGTTTTAAGTAGTGTCAAGATCACATGAGAAGCCCACCGTGTATACGGAGGCTGACAGCACCAACGTATGAGGTCAGGCACAGGGAGTGATAAAAAAATATATAATAAAAAAAATTAAAAGCATTCGAGTTTGGTATGCAAGTGGGATACCAGTCCAATGCTGGATGTGGAAATGCGTCCGCAAATACCCCAAGTGAAGTCACCGATTAAGCTTTGTGTAGCCTTTCTTTCTGCAGATGCCTCTTCCCGTGCAAGTCACCGATTTGAGTTTTTCCAAAAACATTTACGCCATTGTGGCAGATTTTCTGCCATTTAATTGTATTTTTCTTCATATGTTATTACATCAGGCTTAGTGATAATTTAATGCCCATTTATATGCCTTTTTAGTGACTTACAAAAATATATGTTGATGGAATGTTTAGATTCCAGGTGCAAGCAATCATTTAAAGTACAGTTAAACCATAATACTAGTGCATAGTACTTAAATTTTACATTTATAGTTAGTGCATTTTGTACAAAGAGTTGCTTTGAATTGACCACATACCCTATTAGTCTAATCGCATTAATCCAACCTGCTTCACTTTACAAGTCACATGTGTCTGCGTTTCTACCGCAAATGATGTGGTCGTTTTAGTGACCAGACAACATGTCGCCATCGCAGATCCCACCTTCAGACCCAATGTATACATTGGGTTATTTTGTAGGGAAATATTTCTCACCATCAGTGTATACAGAGGGCCACCCACTGCGTAGAGTGTTTTCAATAGCACGCGATAAAAAAAAAACCTAAGTTAAATATAGTGTCGTACCCAATTATTTGCAGAGCAGTGCCAACAAAAAGCAGTGAAAGGTGTTCACTTGAATTTCCTGCAGTTTATGTGTGACGGAGCCAGGGGACCCAGGTATTTTTGCAATCAGTGGCACTACCCATTCTGTCTGCAGTGAATAAATGAAATCTCCTGCCTTGACGTTTGCATTAGACAGGAATAACATCCTTTTAAGATAAACATTTAGTAATTACAACGGTATTATATGTATACCGTCTCAACAGACTACACTGTGACCTAAAAAAGCTGGATATCGGTCTTTCTTCGTCTATATTTGTTTAGCCATATTCTAGCATTCCTTTGCCTGTCTCTGGACCACATCACTAAAGCCAGAGAGGTCTCCTGATGCCATACGAGTGGGGCGTCGCAGTGGGCTAGCAGCTCCGACATGTCACGTGAAATCGCGTGGTCCTCACATGCGTCAAACATCGTACCGTGTCTCTCGCCGCCAATTATCAGGAGATGCCGGAGGATCTGCAATTGTAATGCGGAGTGACCAACTTAATTTAACAGCTTTCAAACGTCCACCCACCTTCCTCCTCATCCCCACCACCCACCTACCAATCGTGGAGGTGTCTGTTGTTCCCTTACATCGACACCAGCTAGCACTTGCCAAGTGTAATTTTCAATAGACTCAAACGCACTGGGAGTTGGAATCTACCGGTGGCAGTCGGGCATACTGTGAATTTTTATTTTCTTTTTCCCCAGCATTTCATCAGATAATCGAAACTTGTTATATATATTTTTCCATGATACTCATCTAGTTTAGCAATATATTTTTTGTTTATACAAATTAGTAATTTTTACATTACCCGATTGCTTTTTTTCACGTTTCAACATTGGAGCTATCTTACCCAATTATCACCTTGCACTTTGTGCATCGGTTATGAGATCACTTTGCGGATACTGTTGCTGCGGGTTTGAGGATAAGCAAGGAGGACAATTTGATGCCGTGTTTATTGCGAGGGCGCTTTTGGCGACAGCACTCGCACGCCAAGATACGCGCACGCGCGCGCACACACGCAGTGCGGAGCGCCGACTAATGCCCAGCAGAAAGAGCCGTATGAATGAGCGCGGGGAGATCTCTGCTGACACTTGCCACACGCCGTATGCTACAGCAATATTTACAACCAAAATGCAACTGCTAATTACTGTTACATCGTCCCAGTCTAATTACCGTAACCAGGGGGCTTGTTAGTTACTTCTGTGTAATTAAATTACAAATTGGGTCTTTAGTCAAACAGCGCATCACAATGCATCATGTCATTAGTGGTTCAATTATCACACGCTGCTCTTAATTAGACCACATTTAATTATTATATCTTTGCATATGCAAATGGTAATTAAATCGGTGCTGCTGTGTGTGTAATTGGTAGACCTTTTTTTATTGCCACAGATTTGAAGTGTATATGATTAATTTAAGTAAGAAATTAGGTGATGCACATTTGAGAATATTTGAAATTAAAACCGTGGAAATAAGTAGTTAAAGCAGTTATTCCCCGTAGAGTCTTTATTATAATAATGTTAAAGTGTTAAAATATATTCATTGCTATATATAGTTCATGCATACCACATTAAAGTAGTTTTTCAATGATTTATAAGTTACAATAAATTGTATGACTCAAATAAGCCACTCATAATCAGCTTACGCTTACCTGACATCCGTGCCTTACGATTGATGGTGTTACATAATTTCAACATTTTTCACATTTCAATTCACGTTGGAATTAATCCACGGCCCGAGTTGTGGGTGATACTTTGCGCGTAATAACCGATCGCCAGCAAGTGCATGTTAACGTGCGGTAAATCTCGCCACTGTTTTCCATGCTTGTCGGCAGTGGACGAAGAGGAAGACTATGAATGCGCAAGCGTTCTCAACTCGCACACGCAGGACGTCAAGCACGTTGTCTGGCATCCCAACAGCGAGGTAAATTAAAATATACCCCACCTTTTACCTGAGCAGCAGCAGTGGGTTTTAACAGTTACTTTCGAAGTTCGGAGGTAAAGGACTTGTGGGGTTTGGATTGCAGTGAATCGTAACATGTGAAATGCGCACGATTTGGTCGTCTCGGTTGCCGTGCTTGCCGACGGAAAGGTGCTGGCGTCGGCAAGCTACGACAACAGCATCCGCCTGTACCGCGAGGATGGCGACGACTGGAGCAGCTTTGCCACGCTGGAGGGGCACGAGTCGACCGTGTGGAGCATCGACTTCGACGCGACCGGGCGCCGCCTGGTCTCCTGCGGCGATGACAAAACCATACGCATCTGGCAAGAGGGTGCGGCTACCAGCTCGGGGGGTAATACAAACACGTGGAACTCCAGCCGACGCCCTACGCACACAGCTTCTCCGTTCATGTTACATGTGAAATATTTTTGTTGTTTGGATGCATTTGTGTTGCAGTCGGCGCCACGTGGGAGTGTGTGTGCACCCTCTCTGGCCATCACACACGAGTCATTTACGACGTCTCTTGGTAAGTCTCTGTAGAAAAGGTTGAGACAGTTCACATCTTTGCATTACGTATAGATCATTTTCCTGGCTATTCAAACGTGCTGTACACCCACAAACGTGCAACTCAAATCGTACAATTTTCTCACATCAAATCCCTTTCTGTTTTGACCCCCAAAATACAAATGTAAAACCAGGTGCAAGCTCACGGGCGCCATAGCGACAGCCAGCGGAGATGACACCATCCGAGTGTTTGAGGAGGAGGCTGTGCCAGAAGGCGACGGGAAAAGCCCTCGGTTCTACGAAGCCGTGTGCGTTCGCAAAGCGCACGACCGGGATGTGAACTGCGTGGCGTGGAGTCCCAGTGACCCGGGGCTGCTGGCGTCGTGCGGCGACGACAGGGTGGTGGCGATCTGGCGCTATGCGAGGGAAAGCGCGGCGAGCGAGGCGTGACGGCTGCGTCTGCACTCGCATTTTGAGAGAAAAACTCGGATCGTTTACTGTCACCTAATCAATTGAAATTTGACACGCCCACTGAAGCTCGGTGGTTTTGTTGCTACCGTGCCCATCGCGCACACTTGTGTACACAATGTCTGCAAAGCAGGGATAGGTATTGGGGGGGGGGAGGGGGGGTTCGATTTTTATTCTGTGCTATGGAATAATAGTGGAGTCGGCTGGTGCTTTCGAGCATGCAGACACCAGGTGTGCCATGCCCAAACCGACTACAACGGAGTGCACATTGAGCCCTCCAGAGTCGTTTTTGTTTGCTTTGTGGTCCCCGAGAGAATTAATATCATGCCCCGGAGACCGGCATCAGCCAAATGGCAGTGTGGTCTCAAGCTTGCATCATCACAGCTTGGTGTTGCAGCTTGCACCATGGTGATGTTTGATACTGTGCAGTTAAGTATTGCGATACGTGGTCTTTTGCAGTCATTTCCACACCAACGACAAAGGAGATAATACAACGACTTACAAAAAATAACAATGTAAATGTGTTTCACTCTGGCCAAATTACCTTGTACAGGCTAACACATTAAATGTGTGCATGTTCACACCCATGTGCAAATAATGTCACTAAACACAACTGGGTGTTCATCCACAACAACTTACTTGAAATAGACCAGGATACAACTATTGAATAAGCAGATGGATAACAAATGTTCGGAGTGTTTGATGGGGAAATGAATTTGAGAATAAAAAGCAACAGTGATTTGCCTATGTTGACCATTTACTATTAGGCACATTGCATACAGTAACCTTAAAGATCATAGACGTCGACAATGACAAAGGGAACAAGTACTTAAAGTACACAGATAACAATGGAGAGATCCATGCTGCACGTTACACAGAGAGAGAAAGCGAAACATGGGTCAGGGGAACGCGCATCAGTCATCGGTGACCTTTAAGAAAAGTGGGCTTGGGCATTGCACGTTGCGAGAAGGGTTGGATCGTCAGTGGGCAAGGCTGATGACAGAGTGGCAGCCAGAGGAGGGATCTTGCCTGGGAAAGCAACCACCAGAGAGATGGGGCGATGAGATTCGCTCACGTGCGGGAGTGAGATGGATTGTAGTATCTCAGGACCAAGGGGGGTGGGAGGCCTTCATCTAGCAGTAAACAAAACATGGCAGATGGTGACATTGGTTAAAAGTATTGTCCCCCCCCCCCATGAAAGCAATGCATGTCTGTTGTGTGAATTTCTTGTTTCCAATTTAATAAAAAAAAATTGGCCCAATGAAAATATGGATTTGTACATAAAATCGACATTGAGATAATGTACAAATGTTTCAGATCACGTAATGAATTATTTGTTAAATGTAAGTGCGTAGTCTTTGCCCATACCCTTAAAGCAAACCGCTTTTTTGTTGCGCATTAAATGCAATACCCCCACAATTGCGTTATCTATCCTCAATAATCTCATTCCCTCACGGTGGTTGCAGTAACATGGCTGTTGTGGCCCTAAGCATTTTTTTGGGGCTCCACAGCTGGGTCCCAGTAAAAGCAGCCGAGATGGTGGGAAAATGAGTGTTGGCTTGCACTCTGACCTCCAGGTTTATTCTGGAACGTGCTGTTTAGTCTGGCAGGATCAGAGGGGAAGCGGTGAGGGGCCTGTCTTGCACGCACTTGTTATGGCCGCCTAATTCTTTTTTTTTTAGCCGAGCTTTACATGCAATCGCAAAAACCAGAGCATGTTGAAAATTTTAAAGAGTGTTGCTGTGTGCCGTTCACGTGTTGTCATTTGCTTGATAAAGGAAAAAAAAAAACCTTTGTTGATAGCCGGGTTGGTAATGTTTGACTGATTAAAAATTATAGTTTGTCACCTGAAATAGTGTACCTGTTACTCCTGGGACATTGATGAAATGCACAGCGGGTCCAATTTATCAACATCGCTTTCAGCACCGTCAGGATTTCCTTCTTGCAAACGTCCCTACATCATCAGACCCAGCCCGTCCGCATTTGTAGAGACTAGCGTAGACATTGTCGCATATCGCTTGACCAGATTCCGTGCGTGCTTCACATGCCGTGTCTCTGTGAAATGGCACATTTCACTTGATTTAGCGCTGGAAGAGCCGAACAAAGAAAAGAGTCCCATTCAAACAACGCCAATCACGACGTGGTGTCCTCGTTTTCCCACTCTGGCAGGGAGTGCAGTGCAATGCCTGTTCTCGACGAATTCAAATGGAGCCGCCTGGCCCTGTAGCAGAACTCGGCTGACTAAGGAGAGAGAATTAAACGTCAGGAGAGGTCCCTCTTTCAACAAAGAAAAAACGCCGCCCTGTGTTCCGCGAACGCAATAACTTTGAGCCAATTAACAAATTGCCTCGTCCTATAAATCACGATCCGCCACGCGTGCTTTCAATTGCACTGCAATCTTAATTTATGTGAGGGGTGGGGTAGCGGCGGAGACAGAGGGCATGGTTTCACAGAACCCGTGTTCATATTACTTAATGGCTTTCTAAATGCTAATGCTTTTGTTTACTTTCCTCATACTTGCAATACAAAAAACTAAATATGCACCTACACAGGTGAGACGCAGTTCGTATACGGGGAAAATAAGATTTTTTAAAACGGGCGTTTGGAGAATTGGAGCGATTCAAATTTAAGTAAATTATTCGTTACATCTGCGCTGCTATAATACGGGTCGTGGAAGAATAACATTAAAACCTGTTTACTGTAGATGTTCATGGTTTCCCTTGCTATGAAAATATTGATTCATTTTAGAAGCTCTTATTTTACTTAATTTGGAACCGATCTTTCAGCCACAAAGTATAAATTGCGCAATACAATAATGCGGTTGATTGAAACCTGCGCATTGTTTGCGTATGTTCCACTTTTTATTTCGAGGGGTGGGGGGTTATTTATCTCCGTATAATTTTATTTTAAAATAATTGTTTCGCAGAAATCAAGGCCGTGTGCCAATAACAAAGGACCGTTCTGCCACCCGCTGGTAGAATTTGATTACTACAGCTGGAGTCAACACTTGTACGTCCCCCCCCCCCCGTCCGTTTTTGTCAATCCACTATTGGATGAGGTCGTATTGGTGGGGGTGGTTGGAGTGTTATTTGACCATACTTCACCACGTTGGTCAGTGCTGCTTTATGAAGACGAGGACCATAGAACAGTAGACGACAATGGATGTTGCTGCGCTGTTCTGGTTTTCCACTCACGAGGTTGCCCCGCAAATCTTGATTTGAAGTTTTCGTGACTGCAGGAATCCATATTCTTTGGTTCTCTCGGTACAGTCACGTAGGTATTAAAATAAATTAAATCACAAGGTTTCGGGCGCAACACAAGCGTCCGTCATCAGGTGGGACAACAGCAAGAAACAATTGCTAAAGTGGGCCAAAGGGCTGCTGCAACAACAAGAGGCCATATAGGCAAGATAAGGGGGAGGAGAGACGGAGGGTGTGGGGTAGAGGGAGTGGAGGATACAAGCACGGCAAATGGAAACATTTATTTTGTGGATGGAGCTCGCACGATTCGGGCACTATCCAGGCTCAACCCTCCGAGATCTTGAAGAGATTTGAAGCTTTCGTGACTGCAGGAATCCATACTCTTAGGGTCTTTCGGTAAAGTCACGTAGGTAGAGAATTAATAGATCACGACGTTTCAGGTGAGAGAGAGAGAAAGCTACTAGGAGCTTTCTCTCTCACCTGAAGACGGTCGCTTGTGTTGCGATCGAAACATCGTGATCTATTAATTTTCTATCTACGTGACTTTACCGAATTGAACCTAAGAGTATCTTGAAGAGATCCTGCACGTTCCGCGTGATTTGGCCGTAGGCGAGAATATTGATGTCCCCTTGTGATAGCAAATATTGGCTCCAGAGTTCACAAAACATGGTATTGTACACGTGACGGTTTGTATAGACCGCTCGTGAGTAACTCTCCATCTAAATGGTACCGCATTAATTGACACGTTCAGTGGCAATCCGCATTGTAGGCAGGGTTCCCAAAACGTCGTCCCTCGACACAAATTGTATGCGTAAAGAAGTTACATGTGTATAACACACGTCGTACCGAATTAACAAAAACACAGTTACGCGGACATGTTCCTTAACATGTCTTCTCCAAATGAAGACAACCCCCCCCCCAGTACTTATTACACAACCCATCAGCCGCACGGCCTTATTTATTTAGTCCATTTCTATTCTCCACAACGATGCGAATGATTGCCTTGCGTCGCGTACGACACACAACTTTGCATCGAGGGCTGGCGACTTCCTCCGCACCTCCGATTGGCACGGTTTGGCTACGTACGGCGCGAAAGAAGTCCAACATTCTCTACATACATAACGTATGGGGGGTGAGTGGCTGTAATATCTGCTGCAGTCTACCAGCATTGGTTCAAGCAAGCCCGCCTCTTGCTGATGAGACACCGAACAATCCACACCGGGCACACAGCGTTGAAGAAGGACGTGCGGGTTTGGGGCCGTCCATAAATGACGTCACGCACCTGGGGGGGGGGGGGTCACAGACCTTTGTGACGATGTGTGACGAAGGGGGCGGGGGTTGAGAAATGTGACGTCACATCAAAATGCGCAACTTTAAATAAATATAGAATTGTTATAACAACACCACTAATTGTTATAACAACACTCCTTCAACGATTTGAAGCATGTTTTATGTTTTGCGGGGGGGGGGGGGGCAGAGCTTTGTGACGTCATATTTAAGGGGGGGGTCTGACTTTTTGTGACGCCGTGTGACGAAGGGGTGGGGGGGGGGGTCAAAAATCTTCCAAAATCACGTGACGTCATTTATGGGAGGCCCCTTTGACGTGTTGTGTAAGAACGACTTTCCTTTCGTATGCGGGAGAGGCGTGATGTGGCGATGGAGGCTTATTTTCCGCTCATTTGCTTTGCTATTTACGATTGTCATTCCGACTCAGGGCCAACAAAACGCGAACGTCAAACTGGCCACTCTCTCGTGTTGCCCCGGAATGGCGATGCCCAAAATTCCGCCGAAGTTCTCAACGCCGTGGCGCGCTGTGACCGCGAGGGGTCGTGAGCTGACCGAACAAACGACACCGCGGAATAGCTGCACTGCCCTGCAGGGTAAAAACTGCGAAGTAGAGCTGAACGATTTGGGGGCAATATCTAATTACCATTTTTCTGACCCTGCAGAGTATAGCCTACGAAGTAGGGCTGAACGATTTGGGGGCAATATCTAAATACCATTTTTCTGACCCTGCAGAGTATAGCCTACGAAGTAGGGCTGAACGATTTGGGGGCAATATCTAATTACCATTTTTCTGACCCTGCAGAGTATAGCCTACGAAGTAGGGCTGAACGATTTGGGGGCAATATCTAAATCCCATTTTGCTGACCCTGCAGGGTATAAACTGCGAAGTAGGGCTGAACGATTTGGGGGCAATATCTAAATACCATTTTTCTGACCCTGCAGAGTATAAACTGCGAAGTAGGGCTGAACGATTTGGGGGCAATATCTAATTACCATTTTTCTGACCCTGCAGAGTATAAACTGCGAAGTAGGGCTGAACGATTTGGGGGCAATATCTAATTACCATTTTTCTGACCCTGCAGAGTATAGCCTACGAAGTAGGGCTGAACGATTTGGGGGCAATATCTAAATACCATTTTTCTGACCCTGCAGAGTATAGCCTACGAAGTAGGGCTGAACGATTTGGGGGCAATATCTAATTACCATTTTTCTGACCCTGCAGAGTATAGCCTACGAAGTAGGGCTGAACGATTTGGGGGCAATATCTAAATCCCATTTTGCTGACCCTGCAGGGTATAAACTGCGAAGTAGGGCTGAACGATTTGGGGGCAATATCTAAATACCATTTTTCTGACCCTGCAGAGTATAAACTGCGAAGTAGGGCTGAACGATTTGGGGGCAATATCTAATTACCATTTTTCTGACCCTGCAGAGTATAAACTGCGAAGTAGGGCTGAACGATTTGGGGGCAATATCTAATTACCATTTTTCTGACCCTGCAAAGTATAAACTGCGAAGTAGGGCTTAACGATTTGGGGACGATATATAATTACCATTTTTCTGACCCTGCAGAGTATAGCCTACGAAGTAGGGCTGAACGATTTGGGGACGATATATAATTACCATTTTTCTGACCCTGCAGAGTATAGCCTACGAAGTAAGGCTGAACGATTTGGGGGCAATATCTAAATCCCATTTTGCTGCCCTGCAGAGTATAAACTGCGAAGTAGGGCTGAACGATTTGGGGACAATATCTAATTACCATTTTTCTGACCCTGCAGAGTATAAACTGCGAAGTAGGGCTGAACGATTTGGGGACAATATCTAATTACCATTTTTCTGACCCTGCAGAGTATAGCCTACGAAGTAGGGCTGAACGATTTGTGAGCAATATCTAATTGCGATTTTTCTGACAGATATTGTGATTTGATTTGCGATTACATTTTTAAAAGTCAAGCTTCAGTTCAATATTCAGTGTGTAATAGATTTAAAACATGTGATGGATCATTACCACGTGATACCATCAAAATATGAACTGCTCTATATATTCTAATGCAAGGATGAGAACTTAAAATATATGAATTGTTTCCAACATGTATATCTTTAAATTATTTAATTGAAATAGAACAATCAAATATAAAACAATTATATTCTTGGTTGTTTCGGTAAAGTCACGTAGAAGGGAAACAATAAAATAACAGAAATATAAAACAATAAAATTCTCACGACGTTTCGACTGCAACACAAGCAATCATCATCAGGTGTGAAAACCACAGCAAGAAAATTTGAAAAAAGTGGTGGGTTTTTTTAACATCCAAATTTATAGAACAAGTGTTAAGTTAAATAAGTTACAATAAAACGTAAAA